TGCCTTGTCTGGAGGGCCACAGGTAGCTTTAAACAATCTTTCCTGAACTTTAAAAATGCTGAGAATGATGCTCTGGCCAGGAGCTTGATAAACAGTAGCGAAAACAGTGGAATCAACACATTTCCCCTCCTCTGAAGGTGTCCTCCTGCTGACTGCTGTGGTGAACAAGCTCCGGAGGAACGCCGTGACCTTTCGAGATCAGTTCATCATTGCCTACGGAGGCCTGAGAGGGGCAATCTGTTTCTCCCTCGTTTTCCTGATTGATGACTTCCCAAAGAAAAGACTCTTCATCACAACTACCATAGTGGTCATCCTCTTCACTGTCTTTGTACAGGTGGCAGATTCTGATGGAAGACCCATATTTTCAGATAGTAGTTTTTCTTCTTTGCATTGCACGTTTTTGGCTTTATGGAGTACTATTTGTTGAGTTTAGTTTTGTCTGGTTACCAGGGGATGACCATTAAGCCTCTTGTCGAGCTGCTGGATGTGAAGAGGAAGAAGAGAGCTCTGCCTACTGTCAGTGAGGAGATCCACAGCAGGGTAAGAAAAAGAGTGCTGGTCTTTAGGGAATACAGTGTACAGTGTATTAGTATGCTTTAATCCAGGTGTAATTAGTCAACTTTGAGTGATAGGAATGTAGATACCAAAATAATTCATGTCTGTTCAATAAATCATTCATTCAGGTGCAAAATACACCTCAACTGTATTTATAGTAAAAAATAGTACATAGTGATATGTATTCGTTAAATGACATTATCTCAGTATAACAAGGTTAACATTTTTAACTAACCAACATCTAGGCTATAGCTATAGGTTTATTTTTTTTTTATTATTTATCAAATTAGTGTGTGAGCTCACCTGTTAGAGCATGTACACCATGTACAAGGCTCGTTACTGCAGCAGCCCGAATTCCAGTCCACCCTGTGGCCCTTTGCTGCGTGTCATCCCCCCTCTCTCTCCCACACTTCCTGTCTGTTCCTACCAAATAAAGGCAAAAGCGCTGTTGTAAATAAGTAAATGTTTAAACTTATTTACTAGAAGAAGACCATTTGGTGCCGTGGAAAAGTATATGTAGAGTCAAAGCAAATCTATGAATGACATACTCACATTATGTCTCCTCTTAGCTCATTGATCACCTGCTGGCAGGAATAGAGGACGTGGTTGGGTACTGGGGGCAGCACTACTGGAAAGACAAGTTAGTTTTGCTCGTTTTACTTTTACTTCACCCTCTCATTCTGTTCGCCACTTCCAAGTATTTGCATAAAAATAAGACCTGAAATTACCAGTAGGTGGCAGCAAATACCACATGCAAAGGTTCTTGGTCATTTTCCACAATCAGGACTCATAATAATGTCAACTGGTTACTGTAATGTATTTAATGTGTGTGTGTGTGTGTGTGTGTGTGTGTGTGTGTGTGTGTGTGTGTGCGTGTGCGTGTGCGTGTGCGTGTGTGTGTGTGTGTGTGTGAGAGAGGTTTGAGCAGTTCAACAGGAAGTACCTTCGTCGTTTCCTGATCCGTGAGGATCACCAGGCTGCCTCCAGCATCCTCAGAGTTTACCAGGAGGTGGAGAGAAGGGAGCAGAGGGGAGACGAGGAGGCGCCAGCACTGTGAGGAAACATTTATGTACTTTATGCCAGCGTTTTTCATAGTAGGAGTCCCAAAGGGTCCTAAATAAACAAAGGAAGGTTTCATGACCCTTATGGCTATAGATGTGACTATTCACGCCTCACTTTTAGAGTGGACCCTCGGTCCCACAGCCGCCCCCTCTTACCAGAGGAGATGGACAGCATCAGGCGTATTCTCTCCAGAAATCTTCAAAACTTCAACAACAAGGTAATTTCACAGCTTGTGTATCTCTGTTTGATTAAAGAATCATTGATTGTACATTACAGGTAGTACTATTCATTTATTTAATATTTGGGTTCATGTAGGCTATGTGTTGTCATCCCAGCAGACACAAGCCTACAGCAGACACACTTTGCACCAGGACGCCACCATGGACAGAACAAGGAAGCCTCTTTACAGACACCAGAGTCTGGCAGAGAGATACACGTATAATACAATCACACACTGGCCACAGGTACTAAACTCACAAGCATACATTTGCAAGTCATTCAGTCTCACTTTCTCTAAATCGTATTTTATTTTAAACAGGTAGAATATCAACAAATGAAGTGAGACTTCGATTGAAGGGGCTCAACTCTAAAATGCTACATACTGTTACCCTTTGCAGGGTAAAAAAGGCTACCTGAAATTCATCAGGCAGTTGAAAATCATAAATTATTTTATCGTAAACATTTATGTTATGTTTTATGAGCAAATGCCTTCAGATATATTTATAAACTCTAATGACTTCTTATCAAATCACTTCATGATAATGTAAACAGAATGACATTTATCTGAAATAAAAGGGTCTTTATTTTTATATAGCATCATTATTTGTGTCAAAAAAAATGCCACTCTACTTAAAAATTATCATTGAATTTAAACAGAATATTAAGATTTAGTTTGATTTAATATAAGACTGTCCTCCAGCCTGCAGTATGTTTTACTGTATACTTCCATTGTGACAGGGGGAGGATGGAGAGTTCAATGGCTCACGTAGAGTGAGAGCTGGACTCAGCAGGTCTCACACAGGTAAAGTGAAAGACAATTCAAGACCTTAAATATACACTCACAGGCCACTTTATTGGGTATACCTTGCTAGTACCAGGTTGGACCCACTTTTGCCTTCAGAACTGCCTTAATTCTTCGTGGCATACTTTCAACAAGGAGTTGGAAACATTCCTCAGAGACTTTGGTCCATATTGACTTGATAGCATCACGCAGTTGCTGCAGATTTGTCGGCTGCGCATTCATGATGCAAATCTCCCGTTCCACCTCATCCCAAAGGTGCTCTGTTGGACTGAGGTCTGGTGACTGTGGAGGTTATTGGAGGACAGTGAATTCATTGTCATGTTCAAGAAACCAGTGTGAGATGATTTAAGCTTTGTGACATGGTGCATTATCCTGCTGGCAGTAGCCATCAGAAGATGTACACTGTGTCAGAAAGGGTTGGACATGGTCAGCAACAATATTCAGGTTGGCTGTCGCGTTTAAACGATGCTCAATTGGTACTAAAGGGCCCAAAGTGTGCCAAGAAAATATCCCCCACACCATTACACCACCACCAGCAGCCTGAACCGTTGATTCACGGCAGGATGGATCCATGCTTTCATGTTGTTTATGCCAAATTCTGATCCTACCATCTGAATGTCGCAGCTGAAATCGAGACTCATCAGACCAGCAACGTTTTTCCAATTTTGGTGAGCCTGTGTGATTTGTAGCCTCAGTTTCCTGTTCTTAGCTGACAGGAGTGGCACCCGGTGTGGTTTTCTGCTGCTGTAGCCCATCTGCTTCAAGGATCGACGTGTTGTGCGTTCAGAGATGGTATTCTGCACACCTTGGTTGTAACGAGTGGTTATTTGAGTTACTGTTGCCTTTCTGTCATCTCGAAACCAGTCTGCCCTTTCTCCTCTGACCTCTGACATCAACAAGGCATTTTTGTCCACACAACTGCCGCTCACTGGATATTTTCCCTTTTTCGGACCATTCTCTGTAAACCCTAGAGATGGTTATGTGTAAAAATCCCAGTAGATCAGCAGTTTCAGAAATGCTCAGACCAGCCCGTCTGACATCATCAACTATGTCACGTTCAAAGTCACTTAAATCACCTTTCTTCCCCATTCTGATGCTCAAGTTGTCTTGCATACAGTTGTCTTGCTTACATGCCTAAATGCTTTGAGTTGCTGCCATGTGATTGGGTGATTAGCTATTCGTGTTAACAAGCAATTGAACAGGTATACCTAATAAAAGTGGCCGGTGAGTGTACACCACATATTTAACAAAATATGCAGTTTTTCCTTTAAATTTCCGACCTACACCTATCCCAAACTCAGGTCCCAATGATATGTAGGCTATGTATTAATGTATGTTGTTTCTTTGTGTGACTGTATCTTAGCTAATGGATGGCAGGAATGTTTTTTTTATCCATACACAATTCTAGTTTTGTTTCTCTACTCCTGCTTTCACTCAAGCTTTCAGAACTTACTAAAATCCACAGGCTGTGAATAGACATATCATCGCATTGTCCCTTGTCTCTCTTTACCTCTTGACCTTTGTCCCTGACATCTATGGTGTGACGATTCTGACTTTGTGGGTCTTGAGCTCATTGTAGCCTCGCTTCTCTTGGCAGTGTGCTCCTTAAGCCCGAGGCCTGTCCTCCAGGACTCATCAGTCCCAGCAGCCTCTGCTCAGACGGGTCAAGTGGATCCAAAATCTTCAGCTTCCAGAGAGGACCAGATCTCTCCACAACACCAAGCACCTGTGGAAAGAGCCCCCAAGAAACAAATCAGCTTTGTTTTGGAGAATGAGAAGCAGCAGTGAAGACAGACTGTGAGAAAGACGGAAAGAGGGGACAAGAAATGTAAACGAATGAATTCAGTGTGTTCAGTCGTTTTTAAATGGCCCCATAAAATGATAAGTACCTCATATTTATTTAGCTGTAGAGTTGTGGGTTTAAAGACTGGGTTGATAAAAGGATTTAGCAAATTCATGGATACCTTCCAATTAAAACTTGTAAAGTGGTTAAAATAATTCACCTTCTGGTTTTATCATTTTGAGAATTTGTCAGTTACAAAGCTTTGCTTAGCTCCATGTTTCACCTCTTGAACACCCTTGGTGGAGGTTTGAGGGTCATTTGCATCTCTAGTCTAATTCATTTTCAAAGTGGCACTCCAAGTGTAACGCCTAGCTTAGAAATACCTTGCAGTCATAAATACTGATACTCACTGCCCACATTATAAGCACAAGCACAAACCAATCCTGCCTCTTCTTGTTTCCTTTATAAATGCGCAGCACACCCACCAGTAATTTGACGAGGACAGGCTCACTGCTGTTCCAAAAATATCTCCTGTCCCCCCCGCCTGACCCCCTCAGTTACTGAAGCTTCTTTTCCCCACAGTTCCCAGCATGCCAGGGAGTGGTTGGGAGAGCCAAGCTGTCTTTAGGACTGGGGCTGGGCAGAGGGTTGCAGAGTGGACACTGAGGAGCTGAAGAGTAACTGACCTGAAGATTGAAAGCTAAGGAGACAGATCACAGTGAAGGAGGATTTAGGCTAGAGTTATGAGGGTGGGAGCTGCGACCTTGGCTGGAGGGATATTTGGGGCAGTGGGGACTCTGTGTTTCTTCTTAGCCTTTGGTACAGACTACTGGCTGGTGGCCAGTGACAACTGTGGATCATATACATGGCAGACGCAAACAAAACTTAGAGGGGAAAAAGATGCCAATGGAACTGAGGTAGGAGAGATACATGTGTGCACATAAATGTCACTACGTACAATGATGGAAAATCTTACTGCTTGTTCTCAGAATTGGTCGGTAACCTCCAGCTAAATAAATATGTATAATAATAGCCACAGCAGTTCATTATTTTCATCACATGTGAGAAAAATATCAGTGTGGAACTTGATTAGATGCTGTGTAGACTGAGGTGTGCGTGCTATGCCACTATAGGCTATTTAAAGAGGTACGAAAATAATTTATTCTTGCGGTTACATAAAGTTAGGGTACTTAAATGAAACAGATTTGAACCAGAATGGTTCAAAGCATTGTAGCGGAGGTGAATACATCCTGACTTTTAGTTTGACTTCAGTGACTTTTAATATGGGTCAAGCTCCAAAAGCACTAGATCCTGCACTTCCCATAATGCGGGCCAATGGAATCTTTTTGTCAGACCCTCTATGTGTGGTAATTGCCCATGTCTTTCAAACATCATGCCCCCAGTTTGTAAGCTTTCTGTTAACAAGACTAACAGTCTACAGCCATGCTTTAAAAAAAAGCTAATTTCAGCATGCTAACATGCTCACAATCAGAAATTCTAACACGCAGATGTTGAGAAGGTATAATGTTTATCTTGTTCAACGATCGTTAAAGTGCATTCCCACACCTGTTTCCTAGAAATTACATTTATATACAACTAATCTGAATCAGCAAATAAATTTAGTAAGTAACCTAATGCAGACTGGATTAACATATTGACAAAATGTTGGATATTACCATGTCTGGAAAGTTGCATGAATGTCTGACCATGTCAATAAAATGTTCACTGGCGTAATTCCTTTGTTTTATCCAATCTTGCAAAAAGATATGACTTGCACTGACTAACACATTAGTTAACTTTTTCATGGTTAGGTACTTACAGCTCTTGGTTAAGGCTAGGGAAAGTTTGTTATCTCTTTAATATAGAAAAAGTCAGCAGTGAAACGTGTTTATCAACATTTAACCACAATCTCACCTCGACCTTAATTAACCAATGTACTTTTAATGCCTAAACCAAAGTACAGTTCTTCATGTGTAAACTCAGTGCCCCTTAAATTTTCCAGTTTGTTCTTTCATGCCACATTTGTGAGAAAGTTCACAGAATGTAAAGTAAGGGATACATTTATAAAAGCTAATCCCCCTGTGAACTCCTCCCTACCATCACAGCACAACAAAGTCTTTCATTTTCAATAAAAGGGGATGATTAAAGTTGCTGTGTGTTATTCAGCACCATCAATCATATTTTTGACAAGCAAATGGAGAGTGCCGCTCATGCGTGTTTCATGAGTTCCACTTGAAAACCTCACAGACGAGCAGGCCATAATCAGAACCACGTTTGATGCCGTGGCACCACTGAAGTACAGAATCACACAGAGTGGCTAGCAAAGACGTGTTGACAAAGCCGACAGAGATTAAGGTTCATCCATCTTCAGACATTTGAGCGTCCGTCTCTCTGTTTGTCTGCTGATGGCAGTCTGTCTCTTTTTCTCATTTAGATCCTGTTAGTGGAAGCTGTCACTGTTTCTGCTCCATCTCTCACTCTGCACCATGAGGGCTTCTTCTGGCGCTGTGTGTTTCAGGTGGAGCCCACAGCACATGCAGTCCTGGCCACTCTCTTCAGTATGTAGGGCTTCTGAGCCGGCAAAACGTTATTGGGACTTGTCAAGTGTGGTTTCATGTCTCATGCTCGGCAGTGTGGACTGCTTGACAAGCTAACAAGTGAACAATGTCTATAATTTCAATAAAATAAACAGGAGGAGAGCAAGAAGAATGTGTTTAGGCATTTCTTTAATCTATTTCATTTTATTCTTTTACATTTTATTTTTCATGTAGCAAACCAGCCAGAATCCAAGGTCTGCATCCATGGTTACCTTTTCCCTCTGCCTGTTGCACTTGGACAGGTGCCTCATCCAAGTTATGATGCTACAGCAGGTAACACACTCACTCACATGCTTACAGACAGGTGACAAACTCAACGATAAAACTGTTAAATGAAAGTGAAATAACTTAGTGAATGCAGATGCTTCCGTACAGGGCATGAGGGCTCACTGAATGGATTGATGAGCATGAAAGTATCTTAGTCCAACAGAACACGTGGAGTCTGGACTAACTTGCTACCACAATCATAAAAACACCAAATGATTTAATATATTTTTTTACAATCACTTCCTTACACACACTTAAAAAACAATTTACATTTGGCAATTAATAACAGTAAAATAAGCTCAAATTACCAAATTACCAACATTAGACTGTAACATTGAGAGGGTGTTGGGCCATGACTTTGACTGAAGGAGCATATAAATGACTGGGAACAGGAATGCAATAAGGTCAATGATTCTGTTCATGTTTCCTCTTTCATCACACATGAATTTCATATTATAATACTGGGGTCGTGGGTAGTGTGGTGAAAATACAATTCTGATAGAGAAATACTGAATCTGTTATTTATATATGGCCTAAAATAAGCCAAATTAGCTTCAAAATAATTATATTTGACAATAACATACCCACCATGAATGGGAAATACACATTCACTTTCTTGTCTAGAGCTGAATGAGAACTTAGGAGGAGGTTGGCTTAGCTTAGCATAAAGACTGCAAGTGAGGCGAAACAGGTAGCCCGGCTCAGTCCAAAAGTGCCAAAATCCGCCTTATAAATCAGCACTTATAAAGCTCACTGATTAAGATGCTGTATCTCGTTTGTTTAATTCGAGAAGTCACTGCACTCAGCCAAGAAATAGTCCAGACTTTTTGTTTTTGTAGATATTAAACAAATTAGGTTTAACGTTAATTAGTGAGATTTTCTGGCTGTAGCTTCATACAGTATTTAATGGACATATAAGAAAGGTATTAATCTTATCAAACTCTTGGCAAAAAAATTTAAGTTTAACAAAAACGTCTAAAACCTATTTCTTTAATTGTAATGTCACTTAAATGCCACATTAAATATGCCATATACATGGATAGGTGACCGGGATCGGATGGTGTCCTTGTACTTCTTGCAGTGTTTCGGGGTTTCTGGACTGTACTGATTATCCTTGGCCTGGTCGCAGCTCTAACTGGAGGCTTTCTCTTGGTCTGTGGTGTCCCCTTCATCAGCCACAAACTGTACAAGCTGGGCGGTGCTTTCCTTATCGCTGCAGGTAAAATTTAGTCTATGTACATGTGCAGTTCATAGCCATAGTATTTATCTGGAGTGTGAAATATTCTGCCTATGGGGAATAAGTGAAAGACATAAACACATGTTGCAGCCATTGCTGAGGCTGCTGCTGTCAGCTGCTCATACCTGTCACATGACACACAGAGCAGCAGATGTCACTCTGCAGCACTGTCACTATAACAACAGCAGGTTTAAACATTGCTGCTGTGGCAACAGTCGAGATGAGTAGGAGCTGCATTCCTCTGGTGTTACTCACAGCAGTGATAGCCTCTATCTGTGTCTCCCTGTCTTTCTGATACTCTTTAAATCACTCCCCAGCCTGCTTGTTCCTGTTCATGCTGCTGCTCTACGTACTGTGGATGGAGGTGGTGGAGGTGAAGCGCTACGTCCTTCAGGAGAGAGGGGAGGCATGTCCACATGCACAGGTTTCGGTGCTCTACGGCCTGTCGTTCATGGTGGCGGCTGCCGGTGTGCCTCTGGAGCTCGTCTCCGGGTTGATTTTCCTGCTGGTGGGCCGTGTGTTGCGTGCCAGCAAGTGAGCTTACCATCTGGACTGTAGGGGAAGAACGGACTGACCTTTTTATGTCCTGCAAATGGGATCAGCAGCGCACTTGTGAGATGTAAATACTGTCTGGAAAGACATGATCAATATTACAGCAACACCCTTTGGATTTCGAGTAGCATGCAGTCAGGGATGCTGATATATCAGTTTTCTATAACTTGCTTTGTTTCTATGAAAATCACTAATTATTATATAATAAAAATACCAGAAAAGTTCAGTGTTACTGGCATTAAGGAGCAAAAGGATGTGTCAAGACTGTTTTATTTTCTAAACATTACCAGAGTAATAATATTATATTAATGCTGCAAGCTATGAGTCTATAGGGCAGAATGTGAGAAATGTATGGGTGAACCAGCTGTGTCCCCTGTCCTCATTTTGGCACCTGATCAAGTGGGCGAGCTGGAGCGGAGTGAGAAATGGCTGGATGGACTGGAGACAAACCATAGCTTTGGATAGAAGGTGGGGGTGGAGGTGGAGCAGGATAGGGATAGATATAGCGTGTATAGAGAAAGAATTGATGCTTGTGGGGGGGCACAAGGGGGCTTTGAGAAATGAACAGCTGTTTGTGGGTTTGGTTGGTGTACAGCAGGCCGGCCACCTGCCCCCCTTCACCCCAGTCACATTTCACTCCCTCACTGAAATCCTTATGCTTTCTCTTTTCTGACTCACACTCATGCACACTGTTATATTCCTCTGTCCCGCCCTCCATGTTTACAAAAACATTCAATTCAAAAACCCCTGTCTCTAATAGATCTAATCTACTAACACACATTCATTGCACGCATGGACAACATGACCCACGTCCTTGCGGGTGTTCTTTCTCTTCCTCAGTCTTCCAAATGGGAAGCACAGGCTTGTGATTGTATCATAACTGCCACAATATTAGATCATCCTCCTTTTTCATTGGTTTGAATGGGCAGCGTGTGGAAACAAGCGGGTGGACTCTAAATCACACATATCGGCTTTCATCTGCTCTACTGAGGAGCAGAAGTGGTGGAGAGGGGGGGCATGTTTGCTTCAAAGAACTCACAGATCAAACACAGAAAAATACACACACACACACACACACACACACACACACACACACCACACACACCACACACTGTGATCAAACTGTGCAGAACACACCAATGTAAATTAGTGAAATAAACTGTATTTTTTTAACTGCACATACACAGCTTGTCTAAGATCTGACTTGTGTAAGAAAGCATACTTCAGAGTGTAACGCAGCCCAGCCATCAAATGCTTTTGCTGAGTTTATTGTGTTGCCCGTGATGTCAGAGGATACCCTCTAATATTGGTACATTGGGGTTGTGGTCTTTCAAATGGTTGTTACTGATAATAACATGTGATTTTATTTAAGTGTTGTAGTTATGTGATGATAAACATGGTAGATAGATGATATATATGCGATTTTGTGTTGTTTGTCTGCAACAGCATGATGGCTGCCTTGCTTGGCAGGAAACTTTGGAAGAACTGTTTTAATCTCAATTAAGCCTTTTATGATAAATAATGCTTGAATTGTTTGTAAGTGTTTAAATAAAAAATAGAAGTCTATAAACTTTTGTCTCCAGCAGCAGAAAGAATTATATTTTAGCTCCTCATGACATCACAAAGTATGAGACCTTATAAGCAGGGGATGCTCATATCTGAGTTCAGTTTTTATCTGATAGTGTTTCAACCACAAACACAACACTCCTGATCTGAACAAGCCGTAACACAGTAAGATAGATAAAAAAGAAAAAAAAGAAAGATAAAAGAAAGAAATAGAAGAAAACACATAACTCCATCTGAACAATCTGAGTTGTGCGATTTAAAATAGTAGCAGAGCTGATTGAGAGATGAATCTGCACAATTCAAAGATAAAGAAAAAGAACATAAGGAAAAAAAGTCAGCACCATACAGATCAGAGAGAGGGATATATTTTTTATAACCAAAAAAGATTATTTTCTCTTTATGAACCCATACGACGAGATGCCAGTGGTGTGCTTGTCACTGACATTCCTGGTAACTCACAAGCCTAGTGTGAGACTAACTTATCCACTGCATGGCAGACAGCCCTGGACGCTTCCCATTGCAGTGTTTAGTGTAGCAGCTATGCATTGCGGAGATGGGATGTTTTATTGGCGTACAAATGCCAAAGCAATGTTGGCTCTTGGAATTGCAGAGAACCACGGCTGCAGTTATGAATTAGTTATTCTTAGAGCCTTACCAGTAATGGGGCTATGGTGTAAAGTTTGCACTGATGGTGGCGCTGGATGAAAAGTCAAGGGGTCACAAAAGTCAAAAGGGTTAATCTGTTTCTGTCTTGATTTGGATATGGCCATTATCTGATACCAATCTAAAACGAAGGTCACACTGCAGGCCTTAGCCTGTACCAATAAGCATGCTTTAATGGATAATCTTTTTTAACAGACCAGAACCACAACCCTCTAAGATCTTAAATGATGACAAATTACTTGTTCGGTTCTTTTTAAAACAGTCAGCTCTCCGGCAAACTAGTAATAAGCTATTATCCACAAACTAGACAAAGAGTTGGCAACTGCATGGTCCACATCTTCTTCACCTAATTCACGGCTGTGGTTGCATTACCACAATCAGCCAGCAGAGGACTCTCTAGCTCTCCTCTTCAAGGTGAAAATCTCCATGCCTAATGTGAGGGAGCAGTGAGTGGAAAGGAAAGGAAAGGAAAGGAAGGGACAGTGAAGGAAAGGAGGAAATTACTGAGCAGCGTATTGAGCTAGAACCCTGGCTTGTTCAGTGACTGTAGCTCTTCCTAATCATAGTTAATTACCTCTTATGTCTCCTCCCCTGTCATCCACAACAATGGAAACATACTATCACTTCATTTAAGGAAGAAATAATCTTGCACTTCAAGTGTCAGCAATTATGGCATTATAATATTATGCGTATGGCATAGTGAGCATCACGTGAATTAAGACATGACATGATAATAAAGTAATAAATCGTTTGCAAATTAACCCCAACAGACCCAAGGAACCCAAAGAGCATACGTCTTGTTGATTGGGGGTAATGAGTGTGTTTTGTGTGCGTGTGTATGTATAATGCAGAGATCTGTATAATTTTCAGACATGGCAGCATTATTGGCTGCTAATTTTCCAGTATCTGCTAAAGGTCCCATTTATGTGATGTGTCAGACAGCAAACAGCAGGATGTGGTCTCACACTAGGTAGGGAAAATGAACCCTACGTGGACCCCTCACCCCTCTGTCCACCAGAGCACCTGGACTGAATACTTGTGGGCTCTAATCCAGTCAAAGAGGGGGATACACTTAGTGAGAGCTCTTTCCTTCCTTTCTCTAACCCCCTAACTCTACTAGTGAGCCGATTACCTGCTCTGTGTGTGTGAGCCCCAGACCGCTAGATCCCCTGAGCATGGCTTTTTAGTTTGTGTGTGTGTGTGTGTGTGTGTGTGTGTGCGCGCACGAGTGTGTGCTCATGCAGCAGGCCAGACGGACATAGCGTCTCCCAGATAAAGCCTTTCTCCTGTCAAAAATGACAGATAATAAAACCTGATATGAGAGAATAGCAAGCTTTATGGCATCACTCTTGCTTTTTGTGTTTCTTTTGTACACCCCAAATCCCCAGGAACGGTCCCCTCCGCCCTCACCCCCCACACCCCAACACACATACACACACACACACACACAGTGCTAATCTCTATTGGGGGGTAGCTGAGGTAGAGAGGGAGCAGGTGGAGGGATAAAAAAGAGTTGCTGTGTGCATTTCTTTTTTCTATTTTTGTATGAATAACTAGTGTGGTCCCCTCAATGCCCTAACACACACACACACACACACACACACACACACACATGCATACACACTGTTCATGCAGACAGATTATGTCTTAGACAGTCAGAGCTCCTGCCTTCAATTAACCTCACAAAGACAGGATCACTTACACACACATCTGATGATAGTACGAGGGAAACAGGAAAGAGAAATGTGTGTGTGTGTGTGTGGGGGTGTGTGTGTGAATAGCTGTGAACAGGCAATCTCTGCTACACAAGCAAGGCATGATACAATAGTCAACTTATTAGTGAGGGACATTATGTCGTATACTCTTTCTTCTGTGCAAACATTCCCGTGTATCACTCACCTTGTTCAAAGTATTGAATATAATGAGTCTTCAGATGTTACAGCACATTCACCAGATGTTGTTTTTTGTCTCTAATTAAAAGTAAATAAAATAAATGTTCATGGTACTGTTGGGTGTAGTCTTAATAAAAAGAAATACTGAATGTAAAGTAAATGGACACAGCTTTTCTTTGCGTCTGGCAGGGAGATTCTACAGACCTGTGAGGCGAAGTTCAGATAGCAGCAATGCCAAAGAAAAGGGCTGAAGCACTGGCAAGGTGCTGCTCTGTATGTGAATGTATTGGCACTCATAACTCTGAGAGGAAGTGCCACTGTTGAATACCTGTTTAGAACCAGAATAATAGATACCAGCATATAGAAAATGTACATACTGTATATGGAAGCATAGTGTTTTCTATTTCTGCAATAAACCATGTTCAAGGACTAAAGTGGATGGTTGAGGACAGTTTGTGTATCGAGGGACAAAACTGGTGTTTACGCTGCAGTTGGCCAGGTGTGCAGAGGTGTGAATGTACGGCAGGATTTGAATTGTACAAACGAGTACAACACCATGAATGCGTTTGAGGAGAGAATGTCAACAAAAACATGCAAAAGGCAGAACTCTTGGTGAGAGAACACTTTAACAATTAGACAAGGAGCACTTTTAAAAAAACACTTTTGCCTTAGAACATGGTTGGATGACAACCTAGATGTTTAAAGCAAACTGAACCCTTTAGGATTCACCATATGTCAGTGTGGATCCATGTGATGGGGACCACAGAGATAAGGCCTCTGACTGGTTGACTGTGCTATGTCAAAACTATCTCTGATGCAATTTTTATTTTAAGCTATACTGTATGCTACTGTTGGAAACCTTGTCTAAATGGCCACTTCAAAGCGTTTTCCATGGGGGATCCTGTGGGCCTGAGGTTTAAGATGCTGAACTTCTGGTCCATGGTTTGAGTCCTGATGTTAGATGTTCATCTCCCCATATGTCCTCTCTTTTCCCTACACTATGTAATAAAGGCAAACATTTCTCCCCCTAACAAAGAGCACTTTGCCCACCCTATATTTACCAAGAGCATCAATTATCTATCCACTATCTCACACACACACACACCAATCACACACTGTTCTCTCTTGGACCTGTTTGGTAAACAAACCAAATCCAGTCCAGTTGCAGTACAATCTATTTGACACTAGTAAGTAACATAAAAACAAATAGCTTAGCATAAAGACAGGCAGGAAGAGTTCTGTGTGGACAGGAAGAACAGAGGAGACATTGCTTTGGGCTTGTGTCTCAAATATCCCCTTTCTTCTTCTCTACTGTATGTCTTTATTTTGCTTAACATCCCCCTACACACACACACACACACACACACAACTTCTTTCATTTCTGCTGAAGGAGAGCAAGGGGAGACAGAGGAGAGAGGAGGAGGGGGTTGCGATTAGTTTCAGGGTTCCAGCCCTCTTGATTGGCAGCTGGCAGCATATGGAGCCGTGAAGAAGGTTTGCCCACGCTTACTTCTGAGGAAACAAATATTTGCCTGAAGGGGAGAGAGAGAGAGAGAGAGAGAGAATGAGAGAGAAAAAATATTAATTAGTTTGCAGACGCGCCAAGAGATAAAAGTCGGCAAGACGTATCCATCAAAAGGCTGCAGAGTTAGCTGCAAAATGGAAATTTTCCCCAAGTTGACAGATCCAGTAGGCTGCTGGCAGAGCTGAGGGGAAGAACACGTGCACGCAGGAAGGAATAGCACTGACACAAGGGCCCATCGTGGAGTCTACATTAACATCTGTGCATACGTTAACATATTCTGAGTGGAATTAACATTTAGGCATGCATCTTCCACGCTTGAGAAACATTTCTCTAGCCCCTCTAATTATTTCTTAATTATCGTCTCCACATTGACATACAGTTGTGCGGAGATAAAAATCCACACATATGTAACACATCAGATGCACTCAAGGTAAACATGCAGATGCCAGTCGACACTGTCTGTTCTTGGTCAACAAGTGTTTGCAGTCAACCCATGATTCCAAACCAACAGCAAATAGATTCTTATTATTTTGTGAGATTATTTTCCATTATAAATTTAGATATGCTATTTGCTTGGAGTTGATTCTCTCCTATAACATTCAGTACTGATGCCTTTTTTTATGTACATGCCTACAAGGACTACTCTACTATTTACATTGTTATGGGTAACAGCAATTATTTCTTTGCTAGCAAGAGCCAGCAACGAGAGCGTATTATTCCCCATTATATTCCCAGTGTTCCCCAACTCAGTATCCTGTTAATATGACACACTGTGGAGACCTTTCAAAGGGTTTTATGTTCTCAGAAATGTTTTTTACCCTAATTCAATTGTCCATTGTATGTTTCCCTGTGTCAAAATGATGTAATCATCCACCTGCAACTTATACAGCTTACTGATGTTATACTCCTTTAAACCTTTTGCAGGCAAGATGGTTT